CAGCCGGCATGACTCAACGCCAAAGGTGCATGGAACGCTGTTACCTTCCCGCCAAAGGTGGTCCCTATTTTTCTACTTGCATTTTTTACCTGCTTTCGAACTGCTAGGTTGGCAGAAGCTGGGACGAGTAACGGGAGCTCACCCTATTACGCGGCACTGGGGATTCGAACCGCTGAACTGCCGACCTTTCTGATTGACAAGCTCAGCGTCTTAGCCACTGAGCCACCGCATCCCACTTGTGACTGATTCACTTAACAACCGTGTTAAGTGAGCCGCAGTGGCGCGGTGGTTAGAGTGCAGTACTGCAGGCTACTTCTGCTGATTGCCGGCTGCCTGCAATTTGGCAGTTCGAATCTCACCAGGCTCAAGGTTGACTCAGCCTTCTGTCCTTCCGAGGCCGGTAAAATGAGGATCCTGATTGTTGGGGGCAAGAGGCTGAGTCTGTAAAGCGCTTAGAGAGGGCTATGAAGCACTGTGAAGCGGTATATAAGACTTAAGTGCTATTGCTCTTCCTTCCTTCCTTCCTCCCTCCCTCCCTCCCTCCCTCCCTCCCTCCCTCCCTCCCTCCCTTCCTTCCTTTCTTCCTTCCTTCCTTCACCAGTGGTTAGAATGCAGGATTGCAGGCTAACTTTGCCCACTGCCAGGAGTTCGATCCTGACCAGCTAAAGGTTGACTCAACTTTCTTTCTGAGGTCAGTAAAATGAAGACCCAGATTGTTGGGGGGCAAGTGGCTGACTCTGTAAACCGCTTAGAGAGGGCTGTAAATGCACTGTGAAGCGGTATATAAGTCTTTAAGTGCTATTGCTACTAACTTTACAATTGCAGTGATTCACTGAACAACTGTGGCCCAGAAGGTCATAAAGTGAGGCAAAACTCACTTGCCAACTGTCAGTGCTTAGTGATAAGAAATGTTGAGTTCAGTTGTGGCTATAAATCAATAATACATTGCTATTTTTTCCCCCCCTGTTTGCTTGGAAGTAATTATGGTCTGTTTATTCAACCTATTTCTACGCCAGCACAATTAAAACTTCACACAACCCTGGACCCACAGATTGAGAATCACTGCTGTAAAAAAAAATTGTGCGCGGTCACAATCTCGGACCCCCAAGCAAGGGATTTATGCCTGAATCATTTTGAGGGTGGGGTTTTTTTGTTTTTTTTTTTGAGGCAGGGGGTGTTTCTGAATTCCAAACGGCTTTGAAGAACTCGAATCCCGCTGGATAAAAATCAGATGCATCCGATAAAAGAGAACTGCATGCAAAAAAACCAAAAGCTTTTAAATAAAATATATTTGTCTGTCCCCCAACGTAGACTTAACACCATCCTTCTTTTCTCCAGTGCATGCTGGGAATTTATACCAGTTTAATAGCGACAAAATAAACGGGGAGAGGCATTGCTTGTATAATGGGGCCTGTTGCTAACTAGGATTCTCGTTTCCTAGTCATCATATTTATTGGATCCTGTTTGGATCGCAGGCTGAGATGCAGCAAAAAAAAAAAAATGCTTGCATAACAAACGGCAGTGGTGATAAATCAGCCAGCAATGCAATGCATGCCTCGGCTAAAGTTAAAATATTTCTTTTTCCGGTGAATGCTGATCTAAATCTGCTCTGCAAAACAGATCCTGGTGTGATTTGCAAAATTCGGAAATCCTTAACGTAAAGGAGGCCAGATTTTTATTTTTTATTATTTTTTTAAATCCAGATTGACAACAACCTCAACAGGCTCTGCCCAGGTCCAAATATAGCTAAATTGACGCTTAAGAACATCAACAGGATGTGCACGCAAACAGGAACAGTTTTGGTCTCGGTTACGGTTTTGTCACTCAGCGGTGAAATGAGTGGATTGGAATTGTGATTTTTAATTTTTTTTTGCAGAGAAAACTCAGCAAAGTCTGAATTTAAGGCCGCTCTAGAATCTTCTCCACCCCTCCCTATCCAGTTGCAGGTGGTCCTCAAATTACGACCACAATTGAGACCAGAATTTGAGCTTCAGCAGGGGGCTAGACTAGAAGACCTCCAAGGTCCCTTCCAGCTTATTCTATTCTATTCTATTCTATTCTATTCTATTCTATTCTATTCTATTCTATTCTATTCTATTCTATTCTATTCATCCTTTTTTACTCTATATTCTATCCTAGTCTATATTTTACACTCTATTCCAGTGATGGCTAACCTTTTTGCCATCGCGTGCCAGGAAGGGGTGGGGGAGGTTTATGCACGCGCGTGCCCACACCCATAATTCTATGCGTAATTTTGTCTGCAGAGCCTGGATAGCTCTGCAGACAAAAGCACTGTAATTTAACACCAGCTGTCTGCAATTAAAGTAAGTTCGAATCTTGCCAGGCTCAAGGTTGACTCAGCCTTCCATCCTTTCTAAGGTAGGTAAATTGAGGACCCAGTTTATGGGGGCAATAAGCTGACTTTGTATAAAATATACAAAAGTATGAAGGCTATTGCTTAACGCACTGTAAGCCACCCTGAGTCTGGAGAAGGGCAGCATATAAATCAAATTAAAAAAAAAAATATGCGCTCCGCCCTGCGCATGCGTGCCCAACCCCCCCTCCCTACTTGCTCCTGGCCCATTTTTCTTTGTCACCTGGCTCCAGTTCCTCTCTATGCATCTGGGGAGGGCGAAAACAGCCTTCCCCACCTATCCCCAAGCCTCCCGGAGGCAGAAAACAGCCTGTTTCCCTACTTCTGGTGGGCCCAAAAGGCCTGAAAATCAGGTGGCCGGCACGCACATGCGTGCCAGAGCTGAGCTTGCGTGCCCACTGATCTGGCTAGGCGTGTCACCTGTGGCACGCGTGCCATAGGTTCGCCATCACGGCTCTATTCTATATTTTACATTCTATTCTATATTTTACATTCTATTCTATTCTATTCATCTTTTTTTACATTCCTAGTCTATATTTTACATTTTATTTATTCTATTCTATATTTTACATTCTAGTCTATATTTTACATTCCATATTTTACATTCTAATCTATATTTTACATTCTATTCGTGAAATGGGGCAGAATTCATTGAAGAAATTCCTCGCTTAGCGACAGAAATATCGGGCTCCATTGGCTTCCTATGATTTTATTGGTTTTTCAAAATATAAAAGACAAAGGAAATTTAATTTTTTTAAAAAATAATTTTATTGAACATTTTTTTAAAACAAACATACAAACCAACCAACCAACAAAAACAGATATTTACATCTTCTTTTCAATATCTTCGCATCAGTAATCTATATTTATACATTTTCTCTTTCTCTTTATCTTTTATACAAATATTTCTAGTATATATATATATTCTCTTAATCTAAATATTTTATTTACATTTAACATAAACAGGTACCTAGTTTCCTTTCCACAATTTATATCTTCCCATTTGTTTCCATATTTCCCCACCTAATTAAACCATTGTTTAGTTTTCTTTTGTCCCTTTTTTTATTTTCCCCTTTTCTCCTTGAACCGTTTATACCATTTCTCCCAGACTAAGTAGTATTCTGTTTCATCTTTTTCTTGTATCTCCTTTGTGAGCTTATCCATTTCCACACACTCCATAATTTTTCTAATCAAAGGAAATTTTAAAAAGCAGTGGAAAAGCAAGAAGAGGGGGAAGGAAGGGAAAAGTAATTGAAATAATATAGAGGATTTTCTTAATATAAATTTGTGATAAAAATGAATGAGTTAACAGAAGCATATATTCCTCCCTGCAGCAAAGAGAAGCAGAGACGGTCAAAATTGATCCAAAGTAGAGAATATATCTAACCTTGTTTCTATTCTGAAATTGCTTCCGGATTTTGGGCTTACCATGAAAAAAAACACACGAAACGTTGATTTTGATTTTGTTAACTAGACAGGCTTATTGGCATAGAAATCGCTTGTACAAGCTGTTGCGTAAAAGCAAACAGTTGTGCTTGGTAATGCTACTCTCTTCTACTGTGCTAAAGTGAGTCGGAAGTTGGTGCCTTTTTTTCTTTCCTTTTCTCCCTTTATGTTTTTTCTTTCTTTTCCCCTTCCCTCCCCCGCTTCTTAGTTTTCCACTACTTTTTATTTTATTTTATATTTTGAAAAACCAATCTAATCATTTAGATAGATAGAAAAATAGATGATAGATAGATAGATATGATGGATGGATGGATGGATGGATGGACAGAGACAGATAGACAAATGGATAGATGATAGACAATGGATGGATAGATGGATAGGTAGATAGGTTGATAGAAAAATGATAGATGATAGAAAAATAGATGATAGGTAGATAGATTAGATAGACAGATATGATGGACAGACGATGGATGGATGGATGGTTAGAGAGGTAGATAGAAAAATAGATGATAGATATGATGGATGGATGGACAGATAGACAAATGGATAGATGAATGTATAGGTAGGTAGATAGAAAAATAGATGATAATGATGGATGGACAGACAGACAAATGGATTAGATGATAGATGATGGATGGATGGATTGATAGAAAAATAGATGATAGAAAAATAGGATAGATAGATATGATGGATGGACAGAGAGAAATGGATAGATGGATGGATAGATAGGTAGATAGAAAAATAGATGATAGATTATCCGACAGACAGACATGATAGATAGATAGATAGATAGATAGATAGATAGATAGATAGATAGATAGAGATTAAAGAGAGAGAGAGAGATGATAGAACTGGCTTGTGGGGTTGCCTTCACAGAAGGTGGGTCCCTTGAGGTCGTAAGTGGGGGGACGACTCCCCTGTTAACAGGCGCGCACGCGCCTTTCCTCCGCAGCGGAGCGCTCTGCACGCGCCCAGAGGGACTCTCGCCCGCCTCTCCGTGGCGTTGCCGGCCGTCCTTTCTCTGCTGCGGAGGAAGAGCCCGGGCGGGCGGGCGGGCGAAGCGGGCTTGCAAGGCGGAGCTTGGTCTGCTCGGGCTCTTCCTCCTCGGCTTCCTTCCTGCTCGCTCGGCCGCCCCTGCGGCTCCTCTCCGCCCCGGAGGCGGCGCCTTTCCCCCTTCCACCCACCCACCCCAGCCTCGGCCGCTGCTGGCCCCGGCTACGCCGTCCGGCCCTGGCTCGGCGGCTGCTGGGCGAGGGGACCATGAGCGCCTTGCGGGACGTCTCGCTGCAGGACCCGCGGCTGCGCTACGAGCTCATCCAGCGCATCGGCTCCGGCACTTACGGCGACGTCTACAAGGTGCGCAACGGCCGGCTTTGGAGAGGGGTTCCCTCCCCGCGGGCGCGCTTTTGGGGGAGCGATCCTGGCTGGGGTGGGGGGGTCCCCAGGAGGGGAGAGAGAGAGAGGAGGGGAGGGGGCTTCTAATGGGAGGGTCCACTCACTGGCGGGCCCCCCTTTTTTTTCTTTTTTCTTCCCCCCCCCCCAATAGTTGGGCAACTTCTCCAAAGCGCGCTTTTGGAGATGCGTAATGGAGAGCATGGAACCGTGGCGCGGTAGTGGGGATTTGCAGCTCCCCCCAGCTCCCGGGTGGGGTGAGGACCGGACTGGGGAAGGGATGCAGAGGGGTGGGGGAGTGGGGAAGCAGGGAATTGTGGCCGGGGGAGGGGGGGTCCAGGGCTTCTCTTCCCGGGGCGTGTCCGGGTCTCTTGGGACCAGCCTCTTTTTTTGTGTTTTGTTTTGCACCGGGAGTTTTCTCCCCAAAGGGTTGCTTGCCCCTTAAGCGGAGAGGGCGCCTTTTGGAGAAGGCGAGGCGAGTCTTCGGGTGGGGGTGGGGGGGCCACTGGGCAGGCTTGGCTGGCTGGTTGGTTGGTTGGTTCCCCGGCCAAGGTCGAGCTCTGTGGGGCAGGCAGGCTGGCTTTGCTACAAGTGTGGGCACGGTGGGAGGGCGGGGATCCCCTCCCTTGCTTGCTCGCTCGCTCCGCTTTCCTGGAGTGACCGAATGACCACAATGCGCTTATTTGTCCGGGTTGCCAGAGAGTTTGGCACGCGCGGATCTTGCGGTGCTGAGGGCTAGGAAAGAGGGATGAAGAGGAAAAAGGAAGGAAGGAAGGAAGGACCAGAGATAGACAGAGAGAAAGGAAGGAAGGAAGGAAGGAAGGAAGGAAGGAAGGAAGACCAGAGACAGACAGAGAGAAGGAAGGAAGGAAGGAAGGAAGGAAGGAAGGAAGGAAACCAGAGACAGACAGAGAGGAAGGAAGGAAGGAAGAAGGAAGGAAGGAGGAAGACCAGAGACAGACAGAGAGAAAGGAAAGAAGGAAGGAAGGAAGAAAGAAAGAGAAAAGGTTAGGGAGGGAGGAAGAAAAGCAAGAGAGAGGGAGAGAAAGCAAGAAAGGGAAAAAGAAGAGGAGGAGGAAGGGTGAGAGGGAGGAAGGAAGAGAAAAAAGAAGGAAAGAAAGAAGAGAAAGGTTGGGAGAGAGGAAGGAAGAGAAAAAAGTGAGAGGGAAAGGAAGGAAGAAAGAAAGAAAGAAGGAAGGAAGAAGGTTGGGAGGCAGGAAGGAAAGAAGAGAAAAAAGCAAGAGAGGGAGAGAAAGAAAGAAAGAAGCTGTTGAAGGAAGAACCTTGCAAATTAAAATTGTTGCCTTTGCAGCAGTTTTGGAAAGGGTGGTGAGCAGGAGGAAGGGTGGGAGGGGAGGAAGGAAGGAAGAGAAAAAAGAAAAGAGAAAAGAAAGAAAGAAAGAAAGAAAGAAAGAAAGAAAGAAAGAAAGAAAGAAAGAAAGAAAGAAAGAAGAAAAGCTGTTGAAGGAAGAGCCTTGCAAATTAAAATTGTTGCCTTTGCAGGAGATTTGGAAAGGGTGGGTGAGCAGGCCCCACAGGGGAGGGAAGGCATATGGGGCTGTTTTAAGAAGAAAGAGTTTAAGAGAGGAAATTGGCTTTGGGAACCCTGGCAATGTTTTTGAACCCATCATCCGTTTCTTGCCCCCTGTTTGGGGTGTCCTGAAACTTTGGAGCCCTAGGAGGAAGCTACTAAACAGGGATTCCTTTGCTGGAAGCTTATCTGATTTCTAGGTTTTTTGACACTGCAGGCCACAATTTCTCAACCTCCGTGACTTGAACATACCTGGACTTCAACACCCAGATTTCCCCAGCCAGCTTTGCTTTGAATTCTGGGAGTTGAAGTCCAGGCACCTTAAAAGTAACTGACATTGAAAAATATTGCTGTACACTAACACAGATCTCCTACTACAGTAGTTATTTTGCTATTTCATAGTAACTGGGGTGTGTGTGTGTGGAAATCTACCTATACTTGCCAATTTGAAAACGTGGACCCAAAGAAAATATAAATGTGGGCCCAGGTGTCCAAGATTGATGGATATAGCGCTGTTACAACAGGACTAAAATATTACTTATTAAATTTATAGGCTGCCCGACTCTCAGGAATTTTTCAGTGGTTTACAGAAAGTATGAATTCTTGGTGCCCAAGCATGTTTTGAGATTCTTGATAAGGTAAAGGTTTCCCTCGCACATGTGTGCTAGCTATTCCCGACTCTAGGGGGCGGTGCTCATCTCTGTTTCAAAGCCGAAGAGCCAGCGCTGTCCGAAGACGTCTCCGTGGTCATGTGGCCGGCATGACTCAACGCCAAAGGCGCACGGAACGCTGTTACCTTCCCGCCAAAGGTGGTCCCTATTTTTCTACTTGCATTTTTTACCTGCTTTCGAACTGCTAGGTTGGCAGAAGCTGGGACAAGTCACGGGAGCTCACCCCGTTACACGGCACTAGGGATTCGAACCGCCGAACTTCCGACCTTTCTGATCGAGAAGATCAGAAATATTTACTTACTTATTTATTTATAAATAAATAAATACATTTATTTATTTACTTATTGGATTTTTATCTAATACCATCCACACCGATACTGATAGGGCAAGCAAAAGAATATAAAATGAGAGTAAACCCCACTCCCTACTACCCCTTGATGATATTACCTAGATTGGCAACCAAGCTCAGGGAGCACCAAGGACAGACCAATTAAAGATGAAAATTGGATCAGCTGTGCTGATGGAAACCAGAAACAGATCTGTTTTATACTGAATGGTGACATGCAGGGGGTCCTCGACTTACGACCATCACGGAGGACTAAAATTTCTGTTGCTAAGTGAGATACCTGGAAGTGAATTTTGCCTCATTTTGCAACCTTTCTTGTCACCGTTGTTAAGCGAATTGGTGAGGTTGTTACGTCAGCGACGCTGTTGTTAGGTGAGTCTGGCTTCCCCGTCGACTTTGCTTGTCCGACGGTCGCAAAAGGGGATTGCGTGGTTTTTTTTTCAACCTTTGCGACTTAAGATGGGTGGACTTCAACTCCCAGAATTCAGCTGGCTGGAAGTTGTCTCCTCTTAAAGTATGTTTACTGGAGAATTCTGGGAGTTGAAGTCCAACCAACTTATAAGTTATCAGGGTTGAGAAATATCGTTCCAATGTTTTGATATAAATAATTGTGCAATGAATCCAGGCAGATATATTGTGTGTCTTCACTGCCCTTCTTATCCAAGTGATATATTTATTTGGGCACGGCAGTCGATCGAACTGGCTTCTTCCCGGCTCGTTAGATCACACCCAGAGTTGAAAAGGATCTCTCGATTAAAATGGATCCTATAAAACAATGTTTTCCAACCTTTGTAAGCCCCTATAAGACGTGTGGGACTTCAACTCCCAGAATTCTCCATTTAACATGGCTGGCTGAGGACTTCTGGGGGTTGAAGTCCACACATCTTAAAAAACTGCTATAAAATTATGCTGGGGCCTCATTGCTTAAAATTTCTAACCAGCACGATCTTTATGCTGGTAGAAGAGCCTCGACTGGGAGACTGGAACAAATAAGGCCGTTTTGCCCCAAAATGCATCTTTGACTGGTTCATTCAAGTTTCTAGTCCTCAATATATATTTTTTTCATATACTTGCCACTCTGAGTGAATCTGGTTTAGCCTGTTGTGGCCAGAGAGAAAATAGAGAAGAACAAAAAATATTATAAAGCATAGGCGTTTTGGAACAGATTCTGTATCCACTGAAGGCAGTTGGAGGAACAGCTGTTGTGAAGCTTCCATATGTTGTTTTCTTATAATTAAGTGTGCATGTGGTTGTGTTGCTCCTTAGAAGCCTCTGAGGTGCCCTTAGCATCGTTAATGCCAGTAGTCATAATCCTATGATAATCCTATTTTCTGATGCTTCTGCGTTTCTTTTTAAATTCAGCCCTATTGGCTTGCTGGTAAAATTGTATTATTTTTTCAGGCTGTGTTTTATTCTGCAGGTAGTCCTTGACTTACAACGGTTCCATTAAGTGACCGTTCAAAGTTACGACGACACTGAAAAAAAGTGACTTATAATGATTGTTTTTCGTACAATCATTGCAGCATCCTCCGATTGAATTCAAAATTCAGTCGCTTGAATTGAACTGAATTGAACTGACTCCTATTTACGACGGACACTCGGGTAGCAACCGAACCATGGTTAGCGCAGCCCAGTCTCACTAGCTAACACAGGGGTCTGCAACCTTAAACACTCAAAAGAGCCATTTGGACCCATTTCCCACAGAAAAGAAAACACCGGGAGCCACAAAAACCCTTCCCGTGCCTGACTATTTCTTGAGCGGCCACAAAACTAGCAAATGTAGTTGGAATTAAACGTTCTGTTTTCTTCTGAAACTTTTCTTTTCTTGGATTTATCCATGGTTGAAAAGCTCAATAAATCGCGTGTCAGTGGATGACGCACATTGGCGGTTGTGACGCATATTTTGAGCGACAGGGAGCTGCAGCAGAGGGGTGAAAGAGCCACATGCGGCTCCAGAGCCGCAGGTTGCTGACCCCTGAACTAACATAATAGCCTCGATGCGAAAGAGACACATTCTCCACATCCTGGTTTGTGACTCCTTTTTGATCCTAATAAGGAGGGACAGATCTGCATCTGCATATCAAAGGAGCATAAAACAGCCCTCCACTCCATTTCCTGGACTTTCCCGCCCCATCCCCCTCCGTCTCCCGCCCTCTGGACTACAAACTGAATTAGGAGTGGGCTGCTTCTCTTCGGATCCTGGCTCATGCCCGCTGCGCAGACATTGTTCAGAAGCCAGCATGGCATTTCCTGAAATTCTTAATTCAGGAATAGCTTAGGGCTGGTCAGCTGGCAGCCAGGACTGCTATTTTCAGCTTCGAAAATGGATCTGATGGGTTGGGGCGGAGAGATGGGTCTTTCTCCCCGTGGCGGGAGGAACAACAATAAAAGAGGAGAGGGCAGGTAGTTCTCCGCT